ATGTTGAAGTTCTCATTGAAACCTTTGTTATTCTTGTTATTATGTGGGCTTCACATATGTAAGACATTAAGAGTGATTTTCTATTTAAATGAAAAACATGCCATTAAATAGTTTGTTTGCATTTAAAGTTAATGGTTCATGGAATGTCATTTTGTGATAGATTGTGATAAACTTATTGGGTCTTTCAACTGAAACCTGATAAGCACTGGAGTTCAGCTGTGCCATGATGGAAAGAGGTTCTTATTGCCATGTAGGATTTTCCAGGGGTTAAATGAGTAATGAGTAATTAAACCATTTTGTTCAATCCTTTTGTTGTTCCAAAAGGGTCACATTTACGATACACAGATCAGAGTAAAGCCCATTTCTCCATTCGAACTTTACCTCGACACGGCTTAGAGGACGTTTGGTATATGTAGACCGTCTCTCGCTGTGAGGCTTGGTAAAGACTAGGCTCAAAATTAATGGCTCAGATAGTTCGCTGCCAACCTAGGGGGTAATTAATCCTGCCTGGCTGATAAAGACATCATACAATGGCGAATGCCAGATTAATCTGCGGAGTAGAGATGTAAGAGTCATGCATAAACGCAGACAAGGAAAGTTACGGCTACTGATCTCTGCTCATTAATTACCTGTCTGCTGAACATCATCCACAGAAAAGTGCCCTGTTCCACCGAGGTAATTACAGTGCTTGAAATAATGCACTCTCCAGCAAACGCTCACAAGTAGCCATCTTATCCCTCATGAGCCTCTCGTTCCTCTCTTTGTCTAAGCTTTGAAGAAAACAGCCTTCATGTTCTCTGGAGGTGCTTACTGACTCCTTTTCCTTTCCTCCGAACCCCTCATTCTCCAAGCATCCGTTTGCCATCTAAAATCAGATAAATAAAAAATTGCCTTTAAAACCAATGCGTGTCCATGATGCATAATGTAGCAGTGGTTGCGAAACAAAAATGATCTCAGCCAGACTGAAACATCAGACTGTTCCTGAGCTTGCGGCAGTAGTCCGTGCCCCCGTCTTCTCTTCAAAATACTCCATGCCATCTGTTGTTTTTGGTCTCAGATTTTTGTAGGTAGTGTTACATAATTTATATGTCTTTTATTTATTTATCTTCTCCTAACACGACCTGACCTGTTGAGTTTTAAAAGAAACCAAAAACCAAAAATTAGCACTGTTCTTGTCGTCGTAGTAATAGTAATAGTACTCTATGGTTTTAGGGATTACGGGATTTCATTGTCAAAATTGCGCAGAGTATAATTACCCTTGTTCTCTATTGTGTCTAACACTACTGATACTAAGAATTCTGATCATAACATTTTTCTCGGTTTCTGTTTTCCAGATGGAGATGATACCGGAGCCTGATCCAGATGACGAGGGAACAAAAATAAGTGTAAGTTAAAGGTGTCACATGTCTCTAACCCAACAGCCTCGAATTAGCGTTGTCAAGAGGCAGCATATTGAACATATGTTGTGGGGATTGTACTTAGAAGCACTTCATACTAAGCAAAGCAAAGGCAACTGCTTCCCCGTAATAATATACTTTCAGTGGGAGAAAGAGCCTAAATGAAGACATCTGTGACAGTGTGTTATTACTATTAAAGTGGCTCCAGTCCCACACTTATGGCACTGAAAATTTGCAAGCCCTCTATTCTATTTCCTTTCCTCACAAATATATGCCTAATGGAGTATATACATACAGTACATACCGCCCAGTGTACGTAGGATTCTTCAACAGACGTTATGTACAGTATAATCAAAGTTTTGTGAAGAGAGCTAAAGCTTATAGTTTAATACCATACCATTATACCCATTATAGCCTTAATGTTTGTATTTGTTCTGCTGTTACATTGTCCTTGCCTGACTTTACTGACACTTTTTTTCGTTTAAATAATGCGTTTATAAAATTGTATAACTTCGTGTTAATATGTCTTACAAAATGTGTAGGTACAAAAGTATTTTAATTTATTTACCCATTTTTCAACCTTTTGTTTTACTATTTAGTTTAATTTAAAATTACGTTTACTTGTTGTGTTGTTTAAACTAGTGGTTTTCAAATTGAGGTTCGAGGCCCCTTAAGGGGGACGCTAAGATGACCCCAGACAATTGGAGTGAAGATAAAATTATAATTATTTGTTCTTAATCGTATAACACATAAACTGCCATGATTGTCAGATTCCCAACACCCATCTTTTGACGGCAGCAACTTCCCATGACGTCATAACATATGTAGACATGGCAGTTTGTGCCTGCTCAAGCTAGCATGTAGTTAGCTAGCACAATGTTTGTTAATAATTGTCTCGACCAAAAGCTAACATAAGCACAACTTGTAAGTAATTTATAATGTATGTTATGTCTCGACCAAAAGCTAACATAAGCACTTGTAAGTAATTTATAATGTATGTTGACTTTGTGTTCCTCTGACCTCAGACTTAGAGGAATGTGGTGAGAGGAAAGCTATTTGAGTTGCACCGTCTCTGTTTTATCGTACCGCTAATTCTGCATTACTTTTAATGAGTTACACATTACCGCCCGTTGACTGATTGATTTTATAGAAGTGGTTATTTTCCAAACCGTGTTATTTCGATCAATAGGACTGTGTTTGCTTCGCCTTTAAAATGTATATAAATAAAATGTAAACATTAGGATGTCATCAGCATATGTGACATGTGGCTATATTTTAAGCCCCTTGCTGCATACAGTTTGGTTAGATTTTATGGTAAAAACAGCTTGAATTGTGCTGTGTATTTTTTTTAAATAATATCCCACCACCCTTATACTACAAGGGGCAGGCCAAATGGATATTACATAATGCACTCTACTCTTATAGTTACACATAAACGTTATGCTAATGGCCAGTCAGTAAAGATATTGGACTTTATCTAAGCATTTACTTAACAACTGTAATAAAGCGCGGTAACTATATTTGTTTGTCTTTGCAACTTGCTTGCCTATGGGTCATTATCTAATTATGACTGGTAATTAGGCATTTGTTTTGTTAAGGCCCAGTGTCCAGTGTTATGATACTGGTGTCTCTTCTCATCACTCTAACAGACAGTGAAGGTCCAGGGCAATGACATCTCACACAAGCTACAGATCTCCAGAGTCAGCAAGAGCGACGAAGGTCTCTACGAATGCAGGGTGACACGGGCTAACTACGGAGAGATTGTCGAGTACAAAACTCAAGCTTGGTTGAAGGTTAATACCACTGCCAGGCCCCGGCGACCACTGCAACCTCCCAAGAAGACCTCCCCGCTGCACCTGACTGACAAAAAGCCCAGAAAGTCAAGCTCACCTCTTGGCCAGGACAGCATGAGCTCCGACCAGAGGGTGGCTTCCACCTCCACCTCTCACACATCCTCCAACACAGATAAACACAACACTGGCTCAGGTAAGACTCTTCAGCAGTGATAGCTTTCAATGGCTACACACACAGGAAAATAACCGATCTCGCAAAACTAATAATTTGGTCTTAAAAAAAACTTTTTTTTTCTGTCACTGCAAACTTGACCATTTTGAGTGTTAATAAATGCAACTCCAATAATGAACAAGTAAACCTTTCTTCGAAAAATACATATTTACACAGTTTAGCAGTCTCCACGGCACAATGGACCTCCAATAATGAACAAGTAAACCTTTCTGCAAAAAATACATATTTACACGGCACAATGGATTGTTGTAGTGCTGTATGCATGGGCTCTTGAACATTTTACTCTGTGTACCACCTCAGAAAATATTTGTCTCTCACAAATATGAACATATCGATCATACAAAGGTCTGCAGTGGCCTCTCCAGTTTGCAACTTTAACGGTAAAAGTTTTGTTTGTAAATCAATCAATACATTTTTTTTCCATATATAAAAAAAGGGAGGGTTGTTATTTGTCTCTCACAAATATGAACATATTGATCATACAAAGGTCTGCAGTGCCCTCTCCAGTTTGCAACTTTAACAGTAAAAGTTTTGTTTGTAAATCAATCAGTACATTTTTTTTCCATATTTAAAAAAAAATGGGAGGGGTGCTGAAGGAAAGAAAAATGACTTTTGCTGGGAAAGTGTTGTGTAGAGCAAGGTTCCCCAAGCCCCGGTCCAGGAACCGGTGCCAAACCACAGGTCATTTAATACCGGGCCACAGTGGGACACATTGAAAAAATGTTCTTCAGTTTTACTAATTTACTTTATTCAAAAAGGATTCAGTCGTATTCCTTTATTTTTTTAATTAAGGAATAATCTGGCAATGTTTCAAAACAATAGGTCATTCAGACTCTCAGACCAACCAAAAAAAAGTCTAAAAGATGTTTTATTTTGAAAATGTAATGACCTTTCAAGGATGGCGCAGTATTACTGGTCCGTAGTAAAGACAGATACGGGCTGATCGTAAAGTAAAGCGTAGCTTAAAGGCAAATGAGTGGCTTCCTAATTGACAGCTAACAAACAGGCTAAAGTTACAGACAGTCTACAGGGTTATGCAAGTTCTGTACCATAGTTAAAAAAAACACTGAACTCAAACATCCATCTCCACATAACACCAGCCGAGTTACTTAATGATTAGTAAAAACTTTTCTGCAATTTCAACATAGAGTAATATGATACATAGTTGTATATATTTCCCTGTAGTCTTTCAATTAATGTACTTTTATTTACTCTCGGCACTATTTTTATATTCTTGATAACACCATGTTGCACCTGGCCTGCTTCCAATGCTCTAAATATAAATATGCCAACCGTTTACATATACACGAGGCGGTTTACACAAATACTGAGTCCTGCTCTGGGCCGAGATCGTTCGGCACCCTGAAGCAAAACAGAGACGATAACGCTTGCTGATTCAATAAAAGTAAAAAGTCGAATAATCCCCGGGGCTGCAGAGTCAGAGATTATGAGGGAGCCAAGTTATGCTGACAACTGAGTTGCAGCAGGACCACTACACAGTATGTCTGACACTGATAAATGCCTCTCTGCTGCTGCTCCGACAACCTTCTATGAGCCGCAGCCAAGAGTTGACCCGGGGCCAAAAGGTTTGCTATTACTTCTCAACTCAGGTTTGAGACAGACGAGCAACAAGAGGCAAACAAGTCCAGATAAAATTAAAACCGCGTGACGTTTCATCTGTAGTTTTTGTTTTGCTGCATTTTCGAACATCGAGACACGTTCTAGATGGGGGTCGGGTGGGGCGTGGGGGCTACCAGTGATAGGATTGAGTTCCTTGCCATCACTCTATGATTGCTGGAATTGGCTCCAGCTTCTCCTGGATAGGATTAAGCGGTTGAGGATGGATGGATGGGTGGATGGGTGGATGGCTGGCTAGATTGACGGACAGAGGGGTGAATGAAATCTATTGACCTCGGAGGAGTTTATTCAGAGGTTTTACAGAGCTCATCAAGAAGGTCTTTGGGTTTAAGCCCAACACACAAACAGTGAAAAATCTTCTACTGTAGTACCACTGGTGATAGAGACAAACTCGTTTTTCACCGGCGAGCTAAGTTATCTGCTTGAATCACTTGAATGCGACGCCATGTTAAAGTCATTTGTTCTTCATTAGCCACCACTCGTTTGTGCAGTGACACTGATGCAATCTAATGAGTAATATAGGGTGATTACTGGGTTTCATGGCCTTTTCTACAGATACAAATCCCCCTTCATTATCTTCATTGATCCCTGCTTAGTTCCGTGAATAATTATTTAATAACAATAAAGGTTTGTTTATTGGACATAAGTTTAGTGAGTTGTTTTGACGACGCAGTTTTCCGTGAGCGTTCAGAGGGTGGCCGTTTTCCCCAAAAAAATGATTGATGGTGGTTGGTGGGAGTATCGACTCTGTGGTATATAGTTACATCGATACTCACTACGGATGTAACAACACACTCAACTCACGATATCCTTCGTATATCTATTGATATCAGTGTCAGTATATTCCAAAAAAGTAATCGGTATAGTATCGAATCAAAAAATCCTATTTGACCCATCACTACTGTGTTATCACAATTAGCCTGAAGCTGCAAGACAATAATGCAGTTGTATTGAACCAGTCAGTCAAAAAACAGGCACAGCTCAGGTAGAGGCGGACGTTCAGCTGGGGGAGCACAGACTGTTAGTCATCAAGCTCATCATGCAGCCACTTTAAAACAAGAGTCGTCACGTAGGTAAGGCACAATTCACACATTGATTCTCAGCGAGCTGTTCATCCCGCCAGGAGTTAACAGAAGAACAGATAGAGATCACAGAGAGCCACTTTAATCTCCGTGTGGAAGCGGCGTTGCGTTTCACATCCCCGCTCTCTACTATACTTGACTGCTTTACTGACCTGGAATCAATATCCTGCAACACCATTTCACTAAGCCAAAACATTCTGGGTAAATTGTGGAGTGGTGAAGTGGGGTTAAGAGTCGCAAAAATTCCATTCTGGCATGGAACAAAAATCAAACATTTTTCTCTCAGGTGTGGCAGATGCTGCACTTTTCTCCGGAGCATTATTTGCAATGAAATGTTCGGTTCCACGTTTCCATTAGCTCCTCTCTACCACCGAACACTGACCTTGTAGTGCCTTAAACGGGCTGAAGATGTTTTCAATCAATACAACTACATATACTGAGCTCTGCTGACATTCTTTCTCCGATCTTCTTTGTCTGCCCACGACACCTCTTGCTTTTTTTAGGGCTGATACGTTGGAAGGCAACCTTTATATATATATTACATCATATGTTTTTATATGATGGTAATAACTACTGACATCTGTCTACCTGTGGTCATAGTATTTCTATCCATGTCTTTTTGTTCTAATACGTCACTTACTATATTTAAGAGGTGGCTTGTGCCTTCACATCATATGCCCCCCAGACACCTCCCTCAGTAGGTGCTCAGGTCATGTCCCACTGGGAGGATACCCAGAGTCACATTGTTGTCTAACATTATTATTTGAGGTTTATTTTGGAGTCCAGCAGGGCCAGATTCGATTGCCTGGCGTAGCCAGATTTGGATTGATGTTGATGATCACTGACATATGGGATGACCGTGCTTGTACTGCTATTGTCAGTCTACTGCCAGTCCAGAACATATACTGTAGTCTACCAGGGTGTCTCTGAAGTGCAATATTTCTTAATTTGTTCAAGGCAATGGTTGAGTTATTTTGGAATACAAGCTGAGGGCCAGATTGGACGGTTTTTTGGGCTGCGGTCAGCCCACGGGCCACCAGTTAATTGTCAGAGACCTTAGTGTGCACAGTATATTTCAACATGAAAATGGTGGGCCTATTTAGAGCCCAAATTTTCAGTGTCCTAAAAAACTGACCTTGGCTGATTCAGTAAAGATCGCTACAGTAACATGAGGTTTTCTTTCAAATTGCACCCTAGTAGAATAATTCACTTGTGTTTCAACAAGATGTTTATATAACAATAATAATAATAACTATTATTATTATTGATTCATGAGAACATTAAACATATATTAGATAGGTGGATGAATTAAATAATACTTTCTGTTCTTATGTAGTATAGAGGAAGTTACTAAAGAATACTTTATCTGACAGATAAAAATCAGTTCAGTTGCAGTGATTGCAAATTCTTTTTTTTTTTTCTTTTTTCTTTTTTACCAATTTCCTTTAATTGCGGCAATAACTGAAAGAGAGGTTTTCTTCAGCCAAAGTTTTATTCTTTTTGAAAGCAATTTTTCCCAGAAACTGGACTCCAAACTTGACTTTCAAATTAAACCACTTAGAGACTGCATTGAGTAACTAAATGAAAATGGTTTCCGGTGAAACCCAACTTGCTGACAGATAAAAGTCTGTTGAATCGGTCCGTATAATGCATTTTTGTAGTGCTTTTAAGAAATAAAAACTGTAAGTGGTCTCTGTTTGGTACTTGCTCTGAAATCAAATGTCCAATAACTACAAATTTGAGACCAACTCTAACCTTTTTCTTTTTCAAGTTGCAATTTCGTTGGCTACAGAAAGAAAACACAGAAAATAGCTTTTATCTGCCAAAATACATGGAGGCAAAGTTATATTTCTATTAGAATGAATAAAATTTTACATTTTTTTTGAAAAACAAAATATCTCTACTTCACATGAAAGATAAATTATCACCTAACTTCTACATGCTAACTTAAATGATGACTAAAATGCTACTTTTACAAAGATGAAAAAAAAAAAAAAAACAAACTTTGTGGTTCTCTATTACTTTGCGTCTCTTGTACAGTTACCATCAACATTACATATACTATATTACAAACAGCCAACTTGGAACTTCCGTAGCTCACTGTAAAGTACTTCCAAGCTGACGACATGTACCCTCAGCCTGTAGGTGTGAGCTTCCTCTCCTCTTCTCCTACACGGAAGGCAGGTGCAAAACGAACACTGCAAAACTGGCAATACAGTCGCCGCTCATGGCCAGTCAAGA